AATAGTACTAATTCTTCAAATAAAGTTGTCCAAATACATTAATAATAATATAAAGTAGTAACAATTTCACCTTAAAATTAATAAGTCCAAACATATAGTACTAACAGTCCAAGATAAATTGGAAGCTGTTTGTCAAATGCCTAACCTGAAAAAAGAAAACATAGAGCAAAACCTTGATCTATGCATGGGCAATACTAACACAGAAATAAAAAACACCTAGAAGGCAAGAAAATGTTGTCCTGTTGCCAAAGCTCAGCGTACTATACAGAAGAATAATGTTCAAAAATATACCCGAAACTGACAAAGATTGTTGATTGAGAATTGATAAGTACGAAGAGAAATTAGTAGTAGGTAAAGGCTGCACAATGTGAGCTCACAAAATTAAGAAACAAAAATAAAAAAATAAAGAATCATTAACAGTCAAAAATACCAATATGAAGATGAATTTTGTTATAGAAATTAAAAGCCTAATGTATAAGACCGAAGACTTACGCTAGGAGTAACTAGTAAGGTCTATGAAGAATGAAGATGAAGCAACTGAAGAGTGCGACTGAGAAAGAATAGGAGAGAACAAACTGAAGCCCTAGCATATGTATATAGTTAAGGGTAAAATCATAATTTTATTAATTCTTATTGGGTTATCGGTTAATCCATTATCAAAATTGGCAAACCGAAGCCCAAACTGATAATGCAATAGTGAAAAAATTCTAAACTGTTAACCCAATAACCCGATACCGAAAATTCAATAAATAATTAATGGTTCGGGTTATCGGTTTTACCCGATATATGCCCAGCCCTAGTCGACTGGGCAGGTTTATCTGCAACCGCAATGAGAATAGAACCCATAGCAGCACACGATTGGCGGAATGCTGGAGTAAGAGCCCTCACCCTTCTCGAAGCTCTCCGACCTAACATCGAAAAACAAAAGGTTAGGTCAACTCTCCACAATTCAAAAAGAAAAGGATATGATGACCCAAAGGTCGAAGCGGCTAAAAACTCACTAGTCGCCGAAGGCTTGGGCCCGAACTTCTTGTAAAAGGCTAGTCAATCACGGATCCCCATAGTATGAGGCAAAACCTAGCTAACCTAGTCATGAATGTCCGCAACCAATAGAGAGGGATCTTTCTTGGCTGAAAAAAATATATATATATAAATAGAGCGATTACGCTACTACCGAAATAAGAGAAATGAACGCTCGGAGGAGCTACTTACGAGTATAGTTCCACGCCTCAGGAAAATCATTAGTATTCCTCACTACGTCCTCGGTCTTGACGTAGAAAAAGTTGAACCAGAACCGACGATTGGCCTTATCATCCATCTTCACCACCAAACTCTTGCCTCCATGATGACGAAGGTGTAACATCGTCCCCTTATGAAAATTGCACACATAGAGGCGCATTAAATGGCGGATAGACATACCGCGGCTGGCCAGTTCCGCGTACTTCATCAATATGAGAATAAGTTTATAAATGTAAGGGGAAAGCTGGGTCGGGCAGACGCCGTAATAACGAAAGAAGTCCTCCGCCAATGAGAGAAGGGGAAGTGAATAGCCCACAAGGAACGGATACGCGTAGAATACGCAATATCCAGGGCAGTGAACCTGTACTACATCAGACCGGCCGAGATAAGGTCGATATGGGCCGGGATTATGAACTTGGCCCTAAATTCAGCAAGGTCCGCCGCGTCCATTTCAGATTCAACGAGTTCAAGATCATTCTCAGGCCGTTTCGAGAAGTCCGATGTAGCCTTTTCAGTGCGAGGGATTATTTCATCCACTGTAGGGAAGCTTTTATCCTCTACAACAATGGTAGCCCTATCATCATGAGCGGGCATGCTCACTGACAATGGAACTGGGTCAGAGGTCCCCTCAGGGTTGGAAGATGCACTAGCCACATTTGGTTATGTATATGGGAAGGAATTACAAGTACATAGGAGGTTATAATGGCAAAAGTTGTTGAAAGCAGGAAAAATAGGGATGCAAGAGCACTGAGAAGAAGAAATAAAAGCCCGGAGATTCGAATGCTTGAAAATGCAACAAATCAAATAGGAGGTTCCCATCCCTATTTATAAGAAATCCAGGCACCCTAATCGAGGATACAAAGTGCCGCTGCACAAATATCGAAACGTCAAGGGCGCGGGAAACGACATAACATATCGAGAAAATGCATAATAATGAAGCATGATGTCATGACGTCATTCTAAATCGACATAACGGTCATTTGTGGCTCCCAAAACGCTATGTCATCACCTCGATGTGAGCATTATTACTCAACCTGCCCGCTTAAATCTCTCAAACTACGACTAGCGAAGTCCGCCCATCGAGATCGTCCAAAAAACAACCTCGATAAGCGGAGGGACTAAGTGTATGGGTCAAAATTTGACTAAGGGAATTCGCCACATGGAGATATTATTAGAAGCGATTAGGCCGAGATCGAATAATAATTAATGGAACTTACTACCGAGCAGTTGGTTATGGCCGAGGTCAAACGTTTAAAGCAACAGTAACGACTAGTTTTGTAATTGGATATTTGGGAGAATATTCCATTGAATATTCTCTGTACTTGTATTTTTAGGTTTGATTAGGAGCATGTCCTTTATAAATAAAAAGGGAGAGAGAAGGTAAAGCGTATGTATTATGTATTCTGATAAGAACTCTATTAAAAAGTTGAGTCTCTAGATAAATACAAACACCACCTTTCTAAAGAGATTCGATTCATTGTTTATTCTATACTTTTCACATCAGATCTGAGAAAGTCTCCAACATTCCTATAGTTATTTGTCTCACATCATTGTTAGAAAGAGGAATCATTCACCTCATTCAATATTAGGTGAATCATTCTCTTTATTTATATTTAGTGCCATTTATTATTATTTAGTACATGTGTTCGAAATACATAATTATTCATAGGTACAACAATGAAAGTCATGTAAATATATCCAAACATATCTAAATACATTTAAATACAATTTAAAAACTCTACCATGAATGCAATATATAAAAAATTCAAAATACACACATGTACATGTGAGTACGACTATATATATATATATNAAATATTCATCAGTAAAATACAGATGAATATATCTAAATATAATTTAAAATTCTAAATACATTTAAATACAATTTAAAAATTCTACCATGGAAACAATATACAATTTCACATTCAAAATACATAACCATAGATTTAAATATAACATGATGTTTAACAAGTTGTAATTAAGAACACTCAAACCTGATAGCATTAGACCTATCAACCCGGAATTGAAACCTTTCAGATATTGCATAATGCTCCATCACATGTTTCAATGTAGCCTTATCTTTATATATTTGTCCAGCCATAACCTCTTTTTGATTAGGTTTTGAGATAATCAAATTCGTGTCCAGTTCGAACACCTCAATTAGTTCGCCTGAATTGACAGACTCAATAGCAAGTGTATCATCTGTATCAAAATTACACCTTTGATTTGCTTCGTCAATTTGCACAAGGTCGCCGTGAATTAAACTACCTCCAGCTATAACTTCTTTGTCAATTGTTGTTATGCATAAAGGATACATCTCGAATTCTCTGTTCACTTTTTTTAACTCCACATACACCATGTAACCTATGTCGTTATGTATTTCCATTGGCGTACAATTTCCATTTACTTTGTATTCAATTTTAATTGACTTTGAGCACAAATCTATGTCGAGTTGTTTCGAAATTGAGGGAACCAAATCATTGTACGACGCATACTCCTTTATTAGTATCCCCTCAATCGAATAATCGACATAGTTACTCTCACTGTTCCACTTGCCAGAATGATGCAGTAGCACGGTTAAACTTGTCATATGTAAAATCTAATTATACCGATTTCTGTATATAATTGTATGAATCCTGATAGCAACAGAAAAAGGAAGGATTATAAACTCGGCGATTGCTCTATTTTGTTATTTTTCGGCTGGAAAAAATATTCAGCAGATTCGGCGTCAAATACAGATTCAGGGTGATATAATTGAGTTAGTTGAGTTATATTAGGAGTCTATTGTGTTTATTGATTCACTTCCGTTTAAAAACAGCTGAATAGACCACAATTTACGCTATTTATGTTATTGTATTCACAAATACATATCGTGAATACAGTCGAATACAATAATTGTTGTACTCCCCTGTTTCACGCCGAGTTTTGCTACTGTATTCATGAATACAGTAGCTTAAATACATGAAATACACTCTAAAAAAACTGAAAACATAGTTATAGGAAGTAATATAGTAAATGGTAGTTATAGCTAGCTAATAACCACTAAACAATAGTGTTTTGTGAAAATTTCTCTTTAATAAACTCCTATTGTTCGATCTAACGGGAATTGTGAAATTTTTAAGGAAAAATTAGACTACACATCAAACATTTATAATGTATTTACCATTTGTAGTTATACTTTCAGCAAATTTACTATTCGTAGCTATATTTGAATTTTATAGGATATCCATAAAATAAGACATTAATTATTTTGAACTGAAATAAGAGAGCAACAAACTCTCGTAGCTTAATTGGTTAGAGTGTCCGCTTAATACAATATTTGTTTTGATTGTCACTTGAATTTTATTATATTGTATCGTTAAATCCATCATTACATAACGACGAAAGTTGGGGTTGCGGCGTCGTTTTCTTGCTTTTTTCTCTCATCTTGCCTTTTCTTATTATTAAATAGTCAAATTTTATCCTTTACCTTGCTTTTAATAGAATAATTCTTCTTTGTACCCTATTTTTTCTTAGTAATGTTGCAAGTTTATTCTTTATATTATTGGTACGAAACATCATGAAGCGACGACAAACAATACAATTTATTCAAACATTATATTTATCAAACAATACAATACAATGCAGAACAATATAATACGATACATTATGGAACGTCATGAAACAAACTAAGTTGTAAGGTTCACTTTGATAAACCTAAAGGATAAAAAATGATCAGAAGTATATTTTAAGGGACCATTTTATACCTATCCTTAAACATAAAGATCCTTTTTTGTCAGTTGCTCGTGAATGTACAGTAAACAATCATTACCGTTACGCCCAACCGTCAGCTCATCCTAGCTTTTCCAGAGTCATCGCCACCATGACGCCGCCGAGTATCTCCGTTATCCCGTCCTCCTCCACCACCATAGTCTCTCCGAAACCACTAAAACCGCCGCCGGTTGTACAGCCACAACTGCCGTCGCTCGAAACCAAGCTTTTCAGTCGCAGGAACGCCGTCGTTTGGCTCTCACTCATTGCTCCTCTCACTTATCCTGCCTCTGCTCTCTCCTTCGGCATATGTACTTATCACTAGCTTTCTTCAACCTAAAGTTAAGAATAATTTATCTGAAAACAATGAAATTTAGCCTAAATTTTAACTGAATACTTTTTTCTTTGTGCGAAATGTTCTCAGCAGGACCAAAAGAATGGTTAAGAGATCAAAAGAAGAAGACTGCCAAGTACCTTTTGGCTCCAATCGATGCTTCTAGAAACATCCTCGGCTCTGCTTATCTCTTACTCAGTACATACTAACATACTGTTTATTTGGAAATTGCTTTTTTTTCTTAATATTTCTGCAGTTCATGAGCTGGATTAGTTGCTTTGTATTTGACAGCGAGAACTGAATCTGATTTTGGTGAAAAAGAACTTGAAGAAGTTCAGAGCTTGTTGAGATCTGCTGCAAGGGATTGTGTACCTCAAGAGAGGAATTCTTTTGTTCAGTTTCAATCAAACACTGGAGTTGAGGTTTGACCTCTGCTTTGACTTTGATTTAAAAATATTTTACCGGCTTCTTGCTGATTTTGATGGACTTATTAATCACAACTAACTCGCGACTGCATATTTTATTTTTAAAATTGCTAAGGTACTTAGTTCTAAACCAAGTGGTTTCACTTTGCGTATTGAGAGTTTAAGCATAGCCGGTCCCGAGTTATTAATTAAAAAGGATGTAGTAGGTTGATGGATAATGTAGAAATGATCCAACTAAAAATCCTCTAAATATGAAATTGAATTGAGTTGCATGTATACAGATGATATGAGGCAGATGCATGATTTGAACTTGATGGGTTCAACCTTTAGAAGTTTTAGCATTAAATTTATTATACTTCTAAAACTATGAGCTCAAAATATAATACTTGTTAAAATATTACTAGTGTTTTTCTCACACACACACACATATATCCATGTTCCATGTCGAAAATAATGGATTCGATCAAACCAATAGCTAATAAGTTGCATCTGTCCCTACAGATGATTCATATGGCTGATCTCAACTAGTTTGAGGTTGAGCTATGGTTGATTGATTGAAGTGCATTAGTGGTGTGGACATGTTAATAATTTCAGTTACGTGAAACAATAAGTCTCTCTTCTAGATTGTGTTTTGTTGTAATGCAACTTTTAAGAGTGAGGTGGAAGATAGGGAGACGAAAACCATGGAAACAAAGCAAATAATAATGCAAGCAACGAGTGATATTGCTCACACTTTTTTTGAAGTTAATATACCTTTTTGACCTGTGTTGTATTGTATGTTCTTCGTGGCTGATATGGAGGATTCCTAATTCTCAGGTCTGCACTTTCCGTTTGGTTGTGAAAAATGCTTCTTCTTTGCTTGCTGACAAGGACCCGGTAAAGTTAGCAGCCGAGACTAAGCTTATTGATCTCATAAGGTATCCTGTAAAACGTATTTTGTCTTCAAGAAGTGGGTTGATCTGTGTGTATTTCAAGTTGGAAGTTGTATTAGCTGTTTATTAGCGATGTTCTAGAATATGTTTTTGTTATAGTAGCTTGGCAGCTTATCTTACTCTCAGTACCTGCTGGCGGCTAAAAAATCTTGCTGGGGAGTTTTCATATTATGTGTTTCCATGAAAGTTGGAACTATCCTTATTAGTCATTATTTAGCTTCTATAAGGATATGGAGGATGTGTACATTTACTGCCTGTTTGTCATATTTAACGTGTTCTGAAGACGTAAAAGCCAGTCTTGAGTTATTACGATGAGACATATATGCACGTTTTGTTTAGACTGGAGAGATTTGACAGAAATTTTGTGACACAATATTTCTGTATTTCATGGTTGCAGGTCTTTTGCTTCTCTCAGTGACATGGCGAATGAAATTGATGTGCAAGTTGCTTCTAATAGGTATGGCTACTGATTTGCGACAATCCTTTTTATTTTCTTCTCAAAACTTGTGTTGGTTTCTTTTAAGTAAAATTTTCCATTTATATATGGCTGACAAACATGATAACAAAGTTAAATATTTCATGCTTGCTTTGTCCCTGTCTTATGACATGGACCTGCTTTATTTTTTTACAGGCAAAAGGTCGCAAATGCTCTCATGGATACAGTCACTTGTCTAGACAAGCTTGAGCAAGGCGTCAAGGAATGCCTAGAAGTTTGATGAATCCCTATTCTAGTCAAAGAAGGAACAGTATGAATTCTGCATTTGCCAATTTGGAGATGCTTTTCCTTTAGGTTTGGAAGGGCAAAAAGAAAAATTGTAAAACAGGTTGTACATCCATTTAATGTTCAAGTTTATTCTTTCATTGTAATGATTTTCTCCAGTTAAATGCATGTTACCTCAGTAGTGAGCAGGCATATCTTCACTTTCATTGAAATTACGAACAAGCGAATTATGATGCATAAAATCGACTCTTTTGCTATTGTTTTTCTATGTGAAGAATTGATGGTATTAGAATTTAGAGGTTTGATGCTCTTTGCTCTACAAGTTACATAACCTGCATCAACTTTACTAGATATTCTTCTCACTTGATATAGTGGACTAAGTTCATATTAGTTCTTGCCTCATGATACAATTAGGTAGTCTATTTGATAATGGCTTTGTGGTATTCCTTTTCTATATAATGGAAGTAAAAGACTAAATAACAGAGCTTGGAAGGTTGTTCTCTTGAAGCTTGTGTGTATTGTATGGAAGGAAAGAAATCTTGGTATTTAATGGGATTAATAACTTTTTCTCACAATGTTTTCCAACTTTTTCTCTACTTTCTTGGAGCACATAGTGCTCCCTGCAGAAAGCCATATTTATGTCCAAAACTGCCTGTCATTGTATACCTCTACAGTTTCTCCCTTTCCATGAGCACTATATTCATAATTATTAAAAACAGTAATAATAGATATATTTGTTTCTTGGTTGTGTCGGCAAAACTGTCCAACATTTGTTAGTGGTACCATTGCATTAGTCTATTAAATTTCTCGCCAAACTTGTTCTAATCTGCAATATAGTGATATGATAGTTATCTAAGCTGCATTGATCTCTTAGTGAGTAGATATCCAACGTGATATAGTAAAGATGATTCTTGTGAAGTCCAGGAATTGATATGCAAGCAAAACTTCAGTAATGTCTATACCTGACAAGCAGTATGTACTGAGGGATTGGATTATGCTTATTTATGCACCAAACAGAACTGAGAGACTTGAGTAAACAGGATAAGAATATGTATCATGAGGATTGGATTATGCGTTTTTTAAGCGCACCAAACAGAACTGAAAGAATTGAGTACATAGGGTAAGATAAGAGAATTGTTATATATGAGAGTTTCATCCTCAACAATTTATAAAGCTAATGAATTGTCCATGTCCCTTGGACATTTCAATGTCAGTCAGCTCGACAATTTCAGAAGTAAAATCTGTAGAAATTGGCTATTTGTACTTGGAGTGAACTCTATGAGTTATGCTGAGTTTTTGTCATAGTTGACAATAGCCACTCTTGAGATTTACTCTATACATATAAGTGATTAGCTATAATTTGAATCTCTTAACTGCATTGATGGAACTATATCCATTTTCCTCATAGGCTGTCAACTTTTCCAACCGAATTATGATTTGTATGATATACACTTCTCATGCTTATTTGCTTTATAAGGGCTGACTAACTGTTCCTCAACTGTATTTGCAAATAGTATGTAACTTGCAGCCACTGACAGGATGAAACATAAAACTTCTAGCAATAGCACAAAGAATTGGAACTGCTAATTGCAAGTATGGCAATAGTTGCTAAGTTCAATGCTGCACAAATAAGGTGTTCTTCAGGTAGTAAATAGCACTGTTGTGAAGCTTCTCTGTTCCTTAATTGCCCTTTGGTCATACTGCACAAAGGATGTTTCCATTTTATGTTTTGTACATAATGTTTCAATGTAGTCAGTTGCTTCTTTCAAGGATCCTATGTTGCTCGGGAAATAGAACAAACTTTTTCTGAGATTGGGCAAAATAGTGCGCTGTTGTCTCTTTTTAAACTCTTGCAAGAGTTAGAAGCTGGAGGGGAAATAAGGTGCTTGAAACATGACAACATGAACCTTTTTTAAGAATTACCTAGATCTTGAAAGCATAAATAGTGTACTAATCACAGGTTAAATGACATAGTCACACGTATAACTAATTGGTAATACGACAGTTACAATCAATGAGGAATGCTTCTAATCTTAACAGCAAGTTAGACTTTATTGGTGAACTATTCTTATAATATTCACAAAATAGATTGATTTGGTGGCTCTCCAGAAGCCTGAAGCAAATACAACCTACAACATGGTGTTCCATCATCTGGGTGAGTTTGAAGTGACCTGGGCAAGTTGCGCAACTTGTTGAACAAATTTAGTGGGTCATGCAACAGCCCAAAATGGGCATCTGGATCACCAATTTGAGAAAGTTTAACATCAGAAAATCCTAGTGATGGCAATAACTGATCAGGATAGTCGCTATAGAAATGGAAATTTGAGCTGGACATTGTGGTTGATTGCTTGTTCATGAAGTCCGCTAAGAGTACTGTATGTGCAAAGGTACAGTTATTCGCGATAATCTTCAGTACTTCCATTGCATTTGAGTGCGAGAGATAGTAGAGAATGCCCTCTAATACCCACACTGTATTCTTATTTAGCTTTAGGCCTGATTCTTGAAGCTTTTCAAGCCAGTCCTTTTCTCTCAAGTCAGCTGCCACTCTGTTCAATGATTTTACCATCATGTTCTGCTCGTTTGTTGCCTCTGCTGCTGCCTCTAAAATAGTGGTTTTCATTTGCAGAACTTCGGGAAAATCAACTTCAAAAATGTTACTGTCTTTCAAGCAACTCAAGCGATATGCCCTTGTATCCATACCTGCAGAAGAAGAACAGACAACACTGGTTTGCTCTATAACATTTTCTCTAAATGAAATCGAATAGCTTTCGAGGGGTGAGCAACGAAAATACTAGGTGAAATATGCATATCCTCTTGTGGTGGATAATATATGTCCATTCAGTGTTCAATCTCCAGATTGAGGCCATAACTCAAAGGAATTAAATAACATTCTGTTTATCAAATTTTAAATGGATGTATCAAATTACCTAGTTGTTATTTGTTTTTTTAGATTATATCTAAACATAGTCATAGTTGCTCCTAAGTGAAAGGACTGTATTAAATGAGAGACTATATTTCTTATCATCGGATAAGATTAGCATATTGCCAGTTGATGGCTAGTATTTTTGGGATTCATAGCTGGAATCTGTTGCATCTTGTTAATGTTTAGTTGGTATATGAATCACTGACATATTAATTTCCTGTGATGGGATGACATCTCTTGTCCCTGCCACTGGCTACTAATTACTAAATGAAAACTAGTCAATTGGCATTGAGTTGCAGAAGTATCCGTCTCTATATCTAAAATGTCACAAGGTATATACAGCACAAGAGATCATGTTGAAACATCACTTACCTGCTCCTAGAATGACAACTTGTGCTCCTCCACCATCAAAGGAATTAAGAGCTGCTTCAATTCTTTTATCAAACCATAGTGTCCTAACAGCAATGATAACTCCAGAAACCTCTCTAGCACTGTTGAGGATGTCTTTCTTAATCTTCTCATACAACTTCTTCAGGTATGTCTCTCCTGCAAGTAACTCTGCTAATGGATCATTGATCACATGTTTCCATAGTGCCCTTCCTGCTGCAGTTTGACGTGCCGATTGTCTCAAAGAGTCCCAATTTTGTTCTATTTTTGAATGAATTTCTCTGATGGTTTCAGTGTACAAAGAATCAGGTAGTATAAAATTTGGCAAGCTACCATTTTCTTGATTAGACATTGTTATGCTGATTTTTAGTGACTGATAGAAGGGAAGAACTAAAGAGATAAGCCATGTAATATATATAATAAAACAAAGAGTACTTTTGAGAGGAAAAAAGTTGTTATTAGGGATAAGGAAAGACAGCCACACAGAACCAACGTCTGAGAAAAATAGCTCAATCGTGTCCAGCGATTCTCTGTGTTAAGTAAATGAAGGTAATGAAGCAGGCCACGACTACCATCATTTTTCATCCCTTTGCCTACTTTGATTCTTTCCCCCTCTTAACAGTATATTTAATGAGTTAGCAATTTTTTTAATTCAAAAAGCAGCATAAAATGGATCCAACATGTTGGTCTAAACAAGTACAAGAATACTTTTAATATGTTACTAAGCTCGTATAGTTTTCTCCAAAAAGCTTCACATTAATAAGTATATGTAATTTCTTTTTAGTATCACCTTATAATGTAAAACTTGGTCGCATATCCAACAATCTTTCCAAGGCAGTAAGCGGTCTGTTTTACACCGTCACTCAACCATCTCTATACCCGTCTCATCAATCCATTAGCTAATACCAGTTGTTGGCTAAGACAACCCGAAGATACTCTTGACATAATATAATATTGTCAGTTTTGGACTAAACTCGTACTGTTTCCCCGAAAAGTCTCATAACATAGTGTCATATTCTCTTATCAACTTTCAATGTGGGACTTTCTTCGCATACTCAAAAGTCAAAACTGTCATCTGTCATCAAGGGTGAATGTAACTTTTTAGCAACAGGAGCAAGCACATCCACTAGCTTAGGGCCAAATTATATATTTATTTCGAATAGAGAATTATGTGTATATAACCATACACCTAGTGGTGGAGCTAAAGTAAGGAAGTTCAATTGAATCCTCTTTATCCAAAAATTGTTCTGTGCTATTAAGGTAACATTATATATTTTTGGTATATATAAAGTATTGAATTCCCTTTAAATAAGGGAAGTTTCTAGATAGAGTTTTTGCATTTTTTCCGAACCCTTTGGTAGAATTTCTACTTTCTAGCTTCGGTACTATATAATACGGGTAAAAACTTATTCGCACCGGGTGTTTACACCAAACCAATAGATATATTATATGTGTCTTGCATATGAACTCCAATTATTTAACCATAGTAAATTACATGCATTCTCATCTAATTAAATTAATTAACCATAGTGAGTTAATATAGTTTGGTGTAAACACCCGGTGTGAGTAAGTATTTACCTATTAAAAAAAAAAGTAGGCGCAATTATCCGCTTGCCGTTATCCACCACATGTGGTCTATTAAGAAAGAAGGGTGGTCCTATCTTTTTCTGGCGTATGATCAAGTACTCATTTGTTGCCTTTGGTTGCTAGATGCAAACCTTTTTTGTGTCTTTGATAGGTTATCTGTTTTTGTGCACGGTCAGATAGCTCCATTGTTTGGTGTTAGATGTTTGACTTGGATAAGGTTCTTGGAACGTTGTATACATATTTAGCCTATGAATTCAGTAGTCTTTTTCTCAATATCATGTGTCTTTTATGAAAAGTTAACACTTTTGCATTAGCATGATATGCACTCCTTCCATGACCTCATATTTATAAATTATAATTTATAACTGTACTCGCTTATAAACACACACGCAAAAAAAGTAGAAAAAAACTACAGTTCAAGTTATTGAGACAAATGCACAATTGTAGTTGTGTCCATATTGTACAAAAATTCATATAACTATATAGACATAGTATTTCAAAAATTAAAGTTTGAGCATTAAATTATACATACATATTGAAGAAGATTTTTGAAAACTAAAATCACATATGACATGGTTTAATGAAAGTGATGCTAACACCAAATTCTTTCATATGTCAACTCTTCAGCAAAGACGAAGGAATAGGATAACTGCCCTGAAAGATACGGTTGGTAATTGGTGTTTTAACCTTACTGACATACATAATACTATTCAAGCCTATTATCAGCATTTGTTCACCATAGAACACATTCATTCAGTGTACCTACACCAAGACTCTAACACACACATCCTTGGCAATGATGATTTTCAATCCTTAGCGGAGCCCCTACATGACTCCGAAATTTTTAAAGCCCTTTATACTTTTAAACCGCTTAAAGCATCAGGGTCGGATGGTCTACACCCCTATTTCTACTAAACTTATTGGGAGGTGGCCCCAAGGTTAAAACCTTTTGTCATCAAGTTTTTAGGGATATGATCATCACCCTAGAAATTAACACAACTTATCTTTGCCTAACTCCCAAGGTGAAAAGTGCGCACGCACTTCATCAATACAGGCCCATAAGCCTATGTAATACTATTTATAAACTCATCATAAAGATCTTTGCTAATAGGATTAAGCTCATCATCTCCAGCACTCAAACTAGTTTCCAACAAGGTAAGCGAGCTTCGGACAATGCAATCATTATTCAAGAAACTCCAACTTACTTCCAAAAAAAGAAAGGTAAAATCAGTAACATGCTTCTAAAACTGGACCTTGAAAAGGCTTTTGATCGACTCGAATGGTCCCTTGTCAGGAAGACCTTACTCTTTTTTTAATTCCCCTACTCCTTTAATTAAGCTAATTATGTCATGTATTACCACTTCTTCAACCTCTATTTAATCAACGGTACCCGCATATCCTATTTCTACCCATCTAGAGACATTCGCCAAGGGATTCTTTGTTACCCTATTTATTCATAATGTGTATGGAAATACTTTCGCGCAGTATATTTCTGTTTGTGAATTATCTTAATTGGCAACCAATAAGACTGTCCAAATCAGGACCGGCTCTATCACATCTATTATTCGCAGACGACCTCATTTTATTAGCCAAAGTTAGCACAAAAAGTTGCCATACCATTATAGATACTCTAAATCACTTTATCAAACACTCAGGGCAAAATATACTTCCAGGAATCAAAAATCTTTTTTTTCCAAAAATTGCTCCCAAGCAAACAAGAATTTTGTTCTTAGCACTTTCCAAATGTCAGAAAGAACTATTTTTGGTAAGTACCTCGCATTTTCTATATTCACTTCCCGTCCAAAAAAGAGTAACTTTAAATTCCTTCTCAATAACTTTAAACATCGACTAGCCGGATGGAAAACTAGTTTCATGACCATGGCAAGACGCACTACTCTCATCAAATTCACTATTAATGCTCTTCTGAACCATGTCATGCAATATATCCTTATCCCGCAATCCATTATTAAGAAAATAGAACAATACCAGCGGAACTTTCTCTGGGGCACCACTGCAACGAGGAAAAGCTACATCTCCTCAAATGGGGAAGATTACATTACCAAAAGAAATAGGAGGCTTAGGTATTCAACAACTTTGCCCAAAGAATAATGCATTACTTACAAGCCTATCGTGAAGAATTTTTCAATCTCCTCATACTCTTGGGCTGGGACATTAATTAGTAAGTACTTAACTATGTCTTCCACAGTAAATCACTCTCCAATTTTGCGTAATATTATCAAAGACTAGCAACACTGTCAGCTCGGTCTACAATGAAAAATAGAGACGGGCACACATATTAGTTTCTGGTATGACCCATAGGTTAAAGCAGGCACACCCCTCCGTTCTCTTATTCAAGGGTTGTTACCAAAACAACACCAACAACGAAAAATATCATCCCTTATAACTTCACAGGGGTGGGATTGGGCTAATATCCCGCTCGAGTTACCTTAGATATACAAAACATCATTCAAACACCTTACATCTCTTAGTACAAGAAAGAAGCAGACCACACATTTTGGGCCCTAACACCATCTGGACATTTTTCTGTCCATTCCATGTATAATGCATTAGCAAAAAGCAACACCCAAACATTTTTTCCCTCTCAAAATTTTAAATGGATCTGGCCCTTGCCAATCCATACGAAGGTTAGAACTTTTATTTGACTCCTTAACCATAACAGATTGCCCACGCGTCACTTTCTCCGCTTTATTGGTATTATACCATATGCAACATATCACTACTATCAAGAAGCAGATGGGATCCTAACCCATATCTTTTTAACATGTGTCAGTGTCCCAACATACTGGGACTCACTAGGACTCCAGGGCAATACCACTGCACTCACACATATGGATCGCCCACAACAATGGCTGCGTTCTCTAATCAATTCAAAATCTTTCCGGTTACCTTATATGATTAATCCTCGTACGTTTCTACCACTAAGCCTTTGGAACATTTGGCTAACTCGTAATCGCAATCTTTACGAACGAACATATGCCACTGTTAGCACAAATTATACAATACATCAAGCAATCGAATTTTCTTACTTGGTTGCTTCACATCACAAAAAACTTACGCGAGTTAAGATTGCACTTAGGTGGATACCTCCTAAACCAAATATTTACAAATGAAATACGGATGGAGCCCATTCTTCTACATCGAATACAGATGGCATGGCGACCGATTCGTGGGTTTCTCGGGCAACACACCAAATTCAACTTGTATTGCAGCAG